TGATCTCCAAACCGCTGATCGCATTTGCCATTTTTCTGCAGCAAACGTTACGGATAGATCTAAACAAAGCGTAATTGGCCTGAGCCGGACCTGCCAACAATCCGCCGCTTCCCAAGGAGAAATATCATGCATTAATTTCATTTAGCCTCCCCTCCCGACATCCAGTGCTAGAAGTTAATTGAATTGCTTGTCCATTGTGTTCATCCACTCACGGAGTTAATGATATTGTGCGGCGGGATTAAAGAGCGCTTTATAAAGCACACGCAGGAGAGCTGGCAGCTCCAGCACTGACACACTGAGGCCGATTAGAGCTCCCATCATGCTGGAGTTCAACAGAGCCCTGCCAGAGGATCACCTGCACACTCACCTGCTCTCTATACACACACACACACACACCTATACACACACTTACAAACTTATACACACTCACACACATACACTTAAGAGTACATACACATGCACAAATACACACGTATGCATGCACACACACACACACACACACACACACACACACACACAATTATACATACAATTACACAAACTCACCTAACCACAAACCCAGAAACACACACACTCAAACAAAGACACACACCACACACACTCACACACTATACATACACTCCTATACACACATTTACAAACTTACACTCACACACATACACTTAAGAGTACACACACACACACACACTTATACCTGTACATATACACTTATACACACACACTTACAGTACATATATAATACACATATGTACACACATACATACACCCGTTTCCACATGCATGCACACATACACACACCCACACACAAAAACACAACACCAACTCAAACGCATGCACTCACACACACATAAAAAATACTTACACATCACACATTTAAACCTAAACACGCACACACAAATTAACACTCACAGTCCTAGACACACATACACCCAAACACACACACTTACACTCACATTTATACACAAATTACACACACAGACACACACACACACACACCTAACCCCAAACATAAACACACAACACACAAACAAAAAAGCTCAAACACACCCACACAGCACCAACCCAAACACAATAAAAAAGCAAACACAGATACACTCAAACCCAAATACACACACATAATTATACATATTATCACACACACCTAACCACAAACCCAAACACAATAAAAAAGCAAACACACGCGCGCACACACACACAAACCCCAACATACGTATGCAACATACACAAACTCCCACACACACACAGTCTTTGAAACACTCAAACCCAAACACACAAACACATAATTACACATACAATCACACACACACCAAACCACAAACACACACACACAGTCTCAGATACACGTATACACACTCAAACACAAAAACCCAAACACACAAACTCTTACTCAAACACACAAACCCAAACAAACACACACCAGAAGCACACACACATCTAACCCTAAACCCAAACACGCCCACACAACACCAAACCAAACGCAATAAAAACCCAAACACACACACACGCACACACACACACACGTCTGCTCTGAGTAATGTGCGGTGGTGCTGTGATCAGGTTAAGAGCTG